AAATGGCTCTCACGGCGAGGCAAAATCTGGCGACAATATTTTCATTGCTAAAGCTGGTCCACCGGACGGGATCCCGTGCCATAAACTGAATCTATCTGCGGTTCGGCTTCGAAGGAAGCACTTAACCCCACGTTATACCACACAACTCCCCCACCTCCCCTCCGATCTGATTGAATATCGTCTACGGGCAGCCCCCCCCCCCCCCCCCCCCCCGCGCCACTGTCAGGCGATCGAGCTTTTTAAACCGGTATGAAGTGGTTTCCGCGCAGATAATGTCGAACTCCTATGGGGTCACAGTCGCATTCACCGCCCGGTGCAAGGAGAACAAGGTGGAGCCCAATTTGGACTTATTCCATTACTTCATCTAGGTGGGCCCTCAGCAGATGGAGGGTTACCAAGTCGTCAGCGCCCGAATGGGGAGGTTCTGGCCTCTTCATCGAGAATGATACCTTGATCAAAGGCTGGAAGGATCGGTTCTTCTTCATCTGTGTCCCGGACGACTTAATACCCAGGAGGAACAGTCATCCCCCAAAGTTCTTCGAGCCTCATGTGTCCAAGGCCTTGGAGGAACAAATCATTGAGTTGGAAGGGGGGAAGACCTACTCCTGCGGGAAATGCCCTTCGCTTTGCACGACTTGCCACGTTTTTCGGCCACCCGGTACTAATATCTTTGTTTTACTTTTTTCAACTCCGTCGCCCGAATCTTCAAATATGAACAATCATCAGCTAAGGAACCTAAGCGGTGCGGGAGCCTCTATGAAGAAAAAGAAGAACAAGGGGTTATGCAAGCTCAGTCTTCTGCCGGTTCTCAGCCCGCTCCGCAGGGGGTGCATGGCCAGGATCTTCTGAACGATCCGCCAATGCAACACTTTGTCCACATCGCTCTATACAACGACCGCTTCCATTCCTCTGAACATCTCCCCGCTCGAGGCCTTCTAATAGTTTACATTTTGAGGATTGTATCTTGAGTCCCAACTGTCTATGCATGCCGGTTTCTATGCCCTACAACTGAAAGCTGCATGAGAGAAACAAGCTTAGGAGGACGACGACGCTCGAACGTCAGCAGAGCAGGTGGCCGCGACGACCAACAAGGCATGGGAGGATGTCAAGGCCAAGGTTAACCAAGAGCTAGGACAATTGCATGTTGATCTTACCGCTGCTCACGTTGTCTTCAAGACTTCCCAGGGCAACATCTCGGACGCCCCCCCTGAGGTGACTGCCATTCTGGCTGCAACCCTTGTTGCTTATCGGACTTCTTAGAAGTTCACCAGAGCTGCCAAGGAGTACACCTGCGCTCATTTGGCAGAGACGTTCGGGGAATATCTTGCTCAATTCCCTCGGCCTAAATGTTGTGATAGGGGCAATGACCTGGCTGATCAGACCCTGATAGGGAAAAGTTGGTCGAACGTTATGGCCAAGAGTACTTATGTCGCCGACTGCCAGAACATCCCCAAGGCGGTGATGCCCATTCTACATAAGTGCGGTCCCTCCCAGTTCGTCATGGCGCATCACTCCCAAGATGAAGACCTCTTCAATTAGACCGAGAAATGGGCTCGAGATGAGAAAAGAGCCAACGATTCTGCCAAAGGCTTGGTTCCCAATCCGCTGACTGAGTCCGAAGCAGAGGATGAAGACAGTGGTGATATCGAAGGGGATCAAGAGGTAGTTTAGCCTGCAAATACATTTCCGCTTTTTATTTTTTGCTCATCTTGTAAATCCCGACCAGCAGCGCCGCAGAGAGTATAAATTTTTGCCCAACTGTTTGTTTCCTTGTGTTTGTTTTTGTACTTGACAAATTTTTCATTTTCTTGTGTCTTGTTTAGTTGCGCCGTTTAGAAAGATCCAAAACTTGTTGCATCGTAGCGTCGTTCGTCATGACCTAAACGTTGGTGACTTCTCAACATACTTCAATTTCGCTTAGTCATGCCGTTCGACATGACCTAAGCCTTGTTGACTTCGCAACATATTCTAAATCATACTTAGTCGCGCTGTTCGGCACGAACTAAATCTTGTTAGCTGCGCAACATTTTTTTTCATTTTTTTCGCTTAGTCGTAGGGGTGGACTCGGGCCGGGCGGCCCGACCCGGAACCGGCCCGGTTACTGTTTGGCCCGGCCCGGCCTGGCCCGGTGGGTCCATCGGTTCGGTTTGGCCCGGCCCGGGCTCGGGCCCTGTTTAGGTGAACCGGCCCGGCCGGTTCGGGCCCGGTCCGGGCCGAATTTTAGATTTTTTGTTTGAAAGTTTTTTTAAGTTTTGGGTTGGATTAGGTATTTTGGGCCATTTGAGGTGGTTTGGGGTTGAGGGGGAGGGGTAGGGGGTTAAATAGGAGAACCAAAAACAAAAAAAAATGGACCGATTTGGCCCGGCCCGGCCCGGTTTGGCACGGAACCGGAACCGGCCACCGGCGGTTCGGGATCGGGCCCCAGTTTTCTGGCCCGAGGCCCGGCCGGGCCCAGGCCCGAACCGGGCCCGAACCGGCCCGGGTCCACTCCTACTTAGTCGCCTGTTCAACATGACCTAAGCCTTGTTGACCTCGCAACATATTTTAACTCTCGCTTAGTCACGCCATTCGGCACGAACTAAGCCTTGTTTTGTCCTGGCTACCTTGTGCAACTAGGCCTATTCTTAAGAAAATTTATCAATTCAGAACCTGAAATATAGATACATTATCAATCTAGGACCCGATAGATGAAATGTATCAATGTGGAACCCGAATGATGAAAAATTATCGATATAGGATCTAACATTTCATAGGTTTTGGTTTATTTAATTTTTCTTATCAATTTTATTGCTAATTTTTTATTAACTTTTTTTGACAAAAGTTTGTTAGTTTAATAAAACTAAATAATATTTAATTTTTTTTAAAACCAAAAGATTTATAAAATCCAAGACAATTTATGTGCTAGATTAATAGTTTTCAATCATTCAAATCATAAATTAATAATTTTTCATCATTCGGATCTTATATCAATACATTTCATCTTTCAAATTCCAGATTGATAAAATTTCATATGTTAATATAAGTTTTCTTTCACCAAAAAAATATTATATTTCAATTTAACAACACTTGTTTCAATCATTAATTCTTCAATCATTAATTCTTTTATCTTTCATTAATTCTTATATTATTTTGCAGGGAATAACTGAATTGACAAAATGAATACTTATAAATTGGTGAGATATTAAATTTATTGACACGGATGGTTGCGGTTAGCTTAAGGATCCGTCCATGGTTAAAGGAGTGGACGGATGAGTGAATGAGAGTAAATGAATGAAAATGAAATAAGATTAGATCTGGACTTGTGAGTTGTGACTATTGGGTGTGACCGGCACCTTAGGTAAGTATCAGGGTGCATTTGTCACGATCCAATGGAGGGCAAGTTCCATTCAATCGACCAGTGCCAATTCTAATCTACCCTTTTCAGCTTTTAATGGACTGTCACTCATTTTCAGTTGCTTTGCTTTCCGGTGGAAGTCATTTCATTTCATTTTCATTTAACCCAGTGGCGCAAAGGCTCTCACCTACGGTGGGGTAATGGGGGGTCAGATGTACGCAGTCTTACCCCTGTACTAAAGCACAGAGAGACTGTTTCCGAATGACCCATAGTGAAAATCGCGTCCAAAATTGCATGGACTGACTACTGCTTCAAAACAAAGAAGCGCAAACAGTTTAGTGAGCCATTTTACTTTCTAGTGGAAGTAATGAAATAATATTAATATATGAAGGGCAACATATTAAATATGTCATACACAATATTAAATTGAAGCAAGGGTCTTGTGTAACTTTGATTAGTTTTTATTATGTAAAATGAAAATGTTACAATTACTTTGAAACTTTCAAAAAGAAAAATATCACCACTAATAAATACCAAGTAAGTATTAGAGTTTTTCCTCAAAATAATGCTATTTAAATAAATAATCCCCAAAATATTGTTAGGTTAAAAATAATTTCTCAAAATACTATTGGAATTTACCCTAGTTATGAAAGTCATCATTTGAGTTGGCGACTTTCTTATCATCACCGAATGGAATGAATCAAGGAAACAAATGTAGCAACAAATTTACTCTTTGTACACATTCTAAAGCCCAAAAAATCATATTTGCTCTAGGTACAGATTTTAATACCCACCAGTACATAGTCATGGACTCGGGTCGGGCCGCCAGGCCCGGAACCGGTACTGTTTGGGCCCGGTACCCGGTCATAGGACCGGTCCGGGCCACCCGAACCGGGAGTTAAACGGGGCGGACTCGGACCTCCTAGAAGTGGAACCAGCCTGGCCTATTTCTTTTTTTTTTTTTCAATTTTTTTGGTTTTTCTCGAGTTGGTCTGGGTTTTTTTTGGGGGGGTTGGGGGGTGGGGGTGAGGGGGGGTGAGGGGGGGGGGGATCGAGGGTTAATTAGGAAAGCAAAAGAAAATTAAAAAAAAAAAATAACATGAACCGGCCCAACCCGGCCCGGAATCACTGCCTACCCGGGCCGGTTCCGGGTCCATGACTACCAGTAGATCCTATATAAAGCTCACAACAAAAAGTTACCCCTCCCCCCTCCCCTCAGCTCAACACCATGTGTGCCTCTCCCAAATATATTGAACCACATTTTATTTTGAAGGTTATTTGGACTGTTAATCAAGATCCCATATTCGATTAAGGTGTTCATAAAGGGCGGGATTTTGTAGCGAGGTTAATTTGTCTCAACTAAAGCTTGTCTGTGAGACTGACTTTTCCTCATTAATGGATTTGTCGTATGAAGGGATTAACGGCAATGTTTTTATTTACCTTTGGATTTGTCAGTGAGTTGGGCAATATTGTTTGTTGTGTTGCTATTTTCGTCTTGTTTTGTTTGTGCGGTAATTTGAAGGTATGTACCTTGTGTAGTATTGTCTATGAATCGTGATTCACAAATGAAAATTATAATTGATGCCAACCTATGGGTTATTCACATGTTTGATGTTTTTTACCCGGATCAAGCCAACCTATGGGTCTTACCCTCAGCAGCTATATATTTGGAAACTCGTGTTTGTTTAATCTTTTTCTTTTTGAAAAAACAACCATTCTGAGCAAAAATATAATTGATAATAATGATGAAGAAAGTAAAAGCAGAAACAGCACCTATATTTAAACACACGAGTTGTTTCATCAAACTATATTCTAACAACAGCCTGACCTAGAAATGAGGCACATGGAATGAGAAGCGCCGATAGATACTGAAAGAACACGATGACATTCCAGTCCATCGTCGTCAACAAGAAACTTAACTTCAACAGGAGATGACTGTATCTCTGGCAGGCCAGGAACTCCTAGTTGACAATCTTTTGCATTTCCCCACATGTACAATTTCCCATCCTCTGCCAACAACAAAAATCAGTCCTAAGAGCCTTTCAAGCCCTTTACCCAATGCTCTAATGTCATTGATGGTATAAACAACATGATATTTTTTTTATAATGGCAAAATTGAGTACCAAACTTTTCTTTTCATGTGAATGAAGGACTATTTAAAAGACTTGCACTGTCGCATGTATGTGTGTATTCTGTTGAGACATCATGGTATCTGGAATAGTAATCACACGTTATCCTTCATTTTGAGATTTTGCACTTCATCTAATTTTCATTTGCACATTAAATAGTGATGCATTCCACATAAAAATCGGAATAAATTATGCCAAAAAATCAACCAAAAAACTTTATCGTGAGGATTACAACCTACTAGGGTCCAGATCATGATAGGCAGGAGGAGATTTTTGCACTTTTGAATATGTGGAAGCTTGTGAAGTCATGTGCTGAGGAAATGTTAACCTTTGGCTGCTACTTGTTAGGAATTAAACACACACAATACGAAAAACAATAAGAAAGATACGAGAATTTGGTGACCCAGATTGCCAAGAATGACTACGTCTGGAGGCGCTACCAAGCCAAGATGTTACTATTATTTTCTGATCATGATTACAATGAGAGAGCGGGTATTTAAAAAGAACAATAACCCTAACCCATAAGTGAAACGCGCGCGGCCCATAAATGAGGTTGGTTATACAATCTCTAACACCTTACACTACTAGGGTATTTAGGTTCAATTAGAAGAAAGGGGGCTCAATAAACCAACAAATAAATTCCAGGGACTTAAAATGGGGTCTGTCACTCAGACGAACAGACATATATGCACAAGTGGGGAACTCAGATGAACAGACATATTGTACATGCGCATAGTGTATATACATTACCTGTTACCGCTGCCGATGATGAACCGCCACAAGATATAAAGGTTACCTTTTCATCAGACAAAGCCTCAATTTTGGAAGGAACTTTCTCATTTTGGAGAGAAGAATGGCCTAACTGACCATGGCCACCATACCCCCATGAAAAGACTTCTCCCTTATCTGCAAGTGTGGATGTCATCAAAAGAACAAATAAGTATAGAACTATAGATATGTATAATTTTTCACTAAACGAACATGGGAATATACAGCAGACAATAAAAGCCTTGCATGTATGTTACATAATAAGTTAAGACACAATTCATGGTTACCTGTCAAAGCAAGAGAGTGATATCCACCAGTAGCTATTTGAACTATACTGACATCTTTGAGAGTATGATTTGGTTGCGGCTTCCAGCCACTGCCTTTCTCCCCTCTTCCAAGCTCATAGTTAGAGTTAGCTGCCAAAAGTATATAATTACATGCTACAAATCAACTTAATTTTTGAGCTACATCATTAATAATAATAATAATAATAATAATTATGTGCACCTGACCTTATCCAGAACTAACGGTCACATTTTACATTATCATGTATGCCATCATAGTCCATGCAGCTTTTAGGCATGACATTTTTCTATAACACTCAATTAGCTAACTAGATAAGATCAACAGAAAATTGAGACACATAAATATGTTCTTGCGTAATGAAATTGGTAGAAAAACAATAAAATAATTTCAATTCGAATATGAATTTTATTGAGTAACTAAAAACATTATACATATAATTGGAATGAGCTCACATAGAATACACACACATTCATATTCATATATATATATATATAGGGAGCGGATCAGGTGAGAAGTGCTCTTAGGCTGAGAATTGCGAATTTAAACTTATAGACTAAATATAGGAACTTTTAACCAATAAATCATAACTTATAGACACCTCGAAAATAATTACGAAAATGCCACCACAAAAAAAATTTACGGAAACCTGGAAAAAAAATTGACGCGGTGGCATTTTCGTATTTATTATGGAGAGCTTTATAATTTATGATTTATTGGTTATAAGTTCCTATATTTAGTCTATAAGTTTACTGCGTTGTAAAATCAGATGCAAATCCAAGGGCTGAGATTACTTCTCACTTCTCATTTTAAGGGGCACTTCTCATCTGATCTTTTCTCTCTCTCTCTCTCTCTCTCTCTCTCTCTCTCTATATATATATATATATATATATATATATATATCCTTTTCTTCAATATATACTCCCTTCATCCCCAAAACAACTTCCCACTTTCCTTATTTGGGCGTCCAAAATAAACTTTCTCATTCCCAGAAATTACATAAAAGCAAATGTCAAAACTGCCCTTAATTTTTACTTGATTTGACATAAAGTAGAGGTATATTTAGAAATTCAAAAAAGAACTTTATTTTGCATATATATATATGTGTGTGTGTGTGTGCAAGTCAAACCGGGAAGTTGTTTCCGGGAGAGACGAAGTATTATAATGATAAAATATATAATGATCTTTAATACGTATAATTATATAAAATATAAACACACATATATAATGATAAAAAACTCAGTTGCTTTAATATTGCTCATTAAATCTTGATCTAATAGCCGGTTGACAGTGGAGTCCAAATAATACCATGAAAACTTCCCTACACTAGTCAGAATTGAGAAATACAAGCCCTATTAAAAAGCAATGAAGTAGTACCATAGCCAAAGGTCCATGTAGTAAAATACCTGTAGTAATTAACAATAGGGAAGATTGACTTTGCACCCCATTTTCAAAAAAGTTAATAGTTAATACGTGTGCACCCCATCAATTCAAAATTTTGTGAAGGAATGGGAGCAGCCGGGTAAACATTAATTTTCTTAATTAGATGGGTACACATGATTTTTAAAATGGATTACAAAGTCCAATTTTGCCCAAAATATGAGGTGCAAAGTCAAATCCCATTATATAATCTAAGGGAAATTATGAGCACACATTTCATTTGATTATTGTTAGGAGGGAATTCTAAGGAAAATTATGAGCAGGCATTTCATTTTATTATTGTTAGGACGGAAATCTAAGGAAAATTATGAACACACATTTCATTTGATTATTGATAGGAAGGAAGCACTGTAATAAGAAGAGCCACAAAACATGGCAAGCTGCGAATTACCTCCCCAGTTCCAGAGTTTGCCATCTTCAGTCAGTGCCATTGTGAAGAACCCACCACATGAAACAGCAGCTACTCTCACCGGAAGTGCTTCCACTTTTGAAGGGATGCTTAGACCGCCAGCTTCATTTGGCCCTCGCTGAGGACCAAACCCCAATCGTCCATCCCCTTCATCTCTTCCCCATGTATAGAGTTCACCTACTTAGTTTGAGTGAATGAATAAAAACTTAGTCTAACTTTCTACTTGACTTTTATAAGTTATTAATATTAATTAGTACAGACTATTCAGAAAAATATTTTAACTAATAGAGAAAAGGGTCAAATAAGGTCTTCTACTATTATGAAATCGTCATATAAGACCAAGTACTCAATAAAGTGTCATATAAATGCGTCTACTTGTAAAAAGCAATCAAATAATTCCTAACGACCCATTTACAACCTTCTAATCACGATTTTAGTGTTCTTTAAACCATCTTTTTATAATAGATTATACGGCACACGTCGAATATTTATGTAAGATTGGTTGAAATATAAGTCAAAAAAATTGACATGTAAGCTAAAATCAGGATTGAGAGTTTGCCAACGGGTCATTAGGACTCATCTGATTGTTTTTTATAAGTAGACGATTTTATATGACACGTTATTGAGTACATGTACATAGCCTTATGTGACGATTTCATAATAGTTAAGGCCTTATTTGACCCTTTTCTCTAACTAAAATGTAGGGATGTAGGATAACCAGAATGGTTCTAACATCAATAAGGGCATACACATACATAGCTATTTAATTAAAAAAAATACTTTTCTTAGGATGTAGTATAACCGGATAGTTCTGATCTCTGAGTTTCTTTTGGACAATGTAAAAATACTTTTATGCAAGCACGCAACAAATAACCATTGGGAGGGGGGTAAGTACCTTATGCACACTCTAACTGTACAGTATATGAAATCCACTCCTAATTACCATGGAGATGCAAATCGACCTTTTCTAAAAAGATTAGGAATTTGGGATCTGAAGTTTTCTAGTAAGAATCATGTTGTCCACACCTTGCAGAGTGTATTACTTCAGTGTTATATAGCTCAAATCCATTAGTATACACCACTCAATGATAATACAACTTCTATATCATACTCCCTTCATCCTAAAAATAATTGATGATCAAGAAAAGTGCACTCCCAAAAGGAACCTTACTAAATGACTTCTCTACCTCGTTTACGTCACAACACAAAATGAAATTCTCACTGTTTCCAGGTCACAAAAACATTTGATGTAAGAAAAGTTAATATGGTCAAGTTTGGAAGATCAGTAAAAAAAATATAGATTGAATTCCTAAAGTTAAATAGAGAAGTATAAAAATATACATTAAAGTCAAAAGAACTTGTGTACTTCCCTGCAAAATTCAAAAGTTTTAACACGGAGATTACAACCATTGTTTGGAATTGCGCAAGGCCATTCTGCCTCATGGCACACCTCATCTAATTCCTGGAATATGGCGTTACGGCGCTGGGACTAGGGTGTACACATCATCACAGTGAGGCGTATCATGTATGCAATATTGCATATGCATTAGGCCACTATGTCACTAGGAGGCATACACAATAGGAGGTCAGAGTGTAAGGGTATTAATTGGGTCCACTCGGTCTTATTTTTAAATTTTATAATTGATATTTTCCCTTTGCATATATTATTATAATTGTTATTTGGAAGACGCTAGGCGCGTTTTGGGGATTATTTGGCATCCCTTCATTTTCTTCCCATGTCTTCATTTGTCACAACCTTGATGATGGAGGAAATGGCCAGTGGTTGGTTATGATCTGTATTTCAAACCACTAGATAGTGATGATTCGACTTTTCAGTCATTGATCTAACAACCTTATATTTTAATATGTTAGGAATTTTGTTTTGATGAATGGTTCAGAAATCTTTGCTATTCTATGGTTTCAACTTTGAACTTTGACGTATTAATTTGCTCGGATTATGACCTCAATATAATTTGTTTGAATATGACATTGACGTTTTTTATGAATATGTTTATTTTTTTTTATGTTTATACACACACACGCACATATATTACGTCTCAGGAATAAGCCTCATTCCGCAATGGGTCTTGAGCAACATGCAACTTTAACAAAAAAACACTCCACGATTAAGCAATATGCAATACACAACAAGCAATTTCAAACCTTGATTATAATGACTCAGGACAAAAATATCATTCCTTCATTCTATTCATTGTTTTACCCCAGCTAGACAGGCAAAAATGTGATACCAGCAAATAATCAAGCTCCTGACCAGATTTCATGATAGCAGCAGTGTGTGTTCCACTTGTTGCAATGTGACTTATTTCCCCATCCCAAGAAGCCTCCACTAATCTAGGAAACAGCTCTCTGGTATACACAGAATGTCCAAGGGCCCCAAAACCGCCATACCCCCTGAAAACATGAAGAACGAAAGTTTCAATAGTCGTAACTAAAGTAGTTAATTCCTTGTTGGAAAAAAAGGGGAATTTGACTTTGCATTTTTTGAATGATATTGGACTTTGCACCCCATTTTAAAAAACCTTTGATTTTGCACCCCATTTCACTTCAAAATCCTTTGACTTTGCACCCCATTTAGAAATTTTCCTTCACAAATGTTATATGATAGGGTGCAAAATCAAAGTTTTTTTAAAATGGGAAGCAAAGTCTAATATCACCCAAAAAAATGGGGTGCAAAGTCAAATTCTCCCAAAAAAAAAACATCCAGACCGGATTAAGCACAGACCAAGTGAAGACCTGGCCATGGACGTTTAGGGCGACAGAATGCAGACCGCCAAGTGCGACACTCCGGAGAGATCCCAAAATAGGGTTCATAGTGGGCACGAAGACTGAGTTCTCGTGGCCAAATCCAAGTCTGCCGCCATCTCCTTTGCCCCATATCCATAGATTCCCATCCACTATCAATGACGAATGGAATATCCCGCATGAAATGCCTACTTCGACGGGAACTTCTCCCTCGTTCTCTGGAAGAGCAGGAAGCGGATTAGCGGAAGGAAGACGTCCGGGAACGGGTGAAGATAACCGGAAAGTAGGGGGGAGTGATAGGGATGCAACGGGAGCGGGGCATATGCGGATTTCTTCAATGCCGCCACCTAGTTGGCCTGAGGCGCCGCGTCCCCAGGAGAATAGCTGAACTGTTACGAATTTGTCGGATTCAGTGCCGTCGGGCTTCCAAAGAAGGGGGACTTTGGATGAGTATGAGGTAGAAGGGTTCGACGAGATATATCGCCGGCAGTGCCACGCCGGAAAAGAACGAACGGTATAGTGACGGAATGCCATCAACACATGTTCGGAGAGGGTTCTCAGTTCTCACGTGCTCGCTAGTCCACAATCTACTTGGTTTGTCCACCCTTCCATTATTTCTAGGCTAAAAATTGCAAATAGGAGATTTGGAACGGTTCCAAAGTGAAATTTGTTAAATAAAGAATTTTTAGAATGTTATTCATTAAGTGTAGTTTATTCATATTAAATTGTAGTTAAAAATTCAATTGAGAAGGCAATTAATGAATTTTTGAAGATAAGTGTGAAGTTAAACAGCGTAGTACATTTCAGAAAATCATTTGACTATCTTTTTGATTGAATTTTTATCTGAAATTTGGTATGAATAAACTAGACTTAATGAAGAAGATGTTCAAACAAATTTATCAAAACATTCCACAGGGAACCGCCTCAAATGACGACGGCCGGACTGAGCCTCCTATATAAGGTAGGGTGGGCATAAAACCTGAACCGAACCGGTACCGAACCGGCCCGTAATGGTACCGAACCGAATATCGGGTATTTAAACGGTTCTATAGATTTTTATCCCGAACCGAAACCGTACCGTTTGAAACGGGTACGGGACGGGTCCTAGATTTTGAGAACCGAAAAATACCGAACCGTACCGTTCAAAAATAATACATTTGAATTTTTATATTTTTTTACACCAATAAATTTATTTTATAGACCAACAATTTTATACCCACATATGTATTCATATGTCCCTAGAATAGTTAAATGTGTGTGTTTATATGTATATTGTTATTTTTTCTTTTTAGATAATTTGTGTTATATTTTGGTATATATTGAAAGAAAGTTAAAGTTTTAACAATTATTAATGACTATTCTTTTCTAGTAATTAAGTGTATACGACTTATTGTTGTATCATGTTTGCGCAATTTTACAACTTAATTAATATGGTTTAGATTTTCTCTCTCACGTCCAACTATAAATTAAATTAGAACTAATATTTAATTTAACCAAGAACAAAGAAGAAGAACGATGAATTTTTCTATTACATTCAACAACTTGATGATATTCTTTTTATATTTTAACATGAACTTAGTAAATTTAAGATGATATTTATCTAATGTATAATCATTTTGCTATACTTTTTCTTAGTTATGTTGCACTATTTGTGTGTTTGTGAATTTTAGTGCTACGTATGCAATTTCTTGTATTTATATCGAAATTTCATGCGAGTTGGTTGATATTATGATATCTACTAATTGCAAGATTTGTCCAATTTTTAGCATGTGTTTGGCATTGTACCGTACCGTTTTGTACCGTTCCGAAACGACACGGTACCGAATGGTTCCATCTTTAGAACCGGACCGTACCGGACCGTTAGAAACATCGCGGATACATTACGGGTTTTACTAATTTCTCGGACCGTTCCGGACCGCGCCCACCCCTAATGTAAGGGCTAATTTGCACTTTTAAGTTAATTCGAGGGCCTATTTGACCCTTTAGCCTTTTTTCTAATTGACAAAATTATCGAATAAGTCCACGTACTATTATCAAAAAGTCAATTATGTCTCCGCACTAAATTGTCATTCAATCCAGTCCATGTACTTATAAGAAAACTTCAAATTGTCTATTTAACCACTAATTGGCGAGTTCATCTGGCTAAATTGGCCAATAGTTAACCTCCACACAGTCATGGACTCGGGCTAGGTGGCCCGACCCGGAACCGGTACTGTGCTGAACCGGCCTGGACCGATAGCCCGGCCAATGACAGGTCCGGGAAGGCCCGGCCCGGGGGGTTCCCGGTGTGGGCTCGGGTCACCAAAAAGCCGAACCGGCCCTGCCGGTTCCGGGCTTTTAATTTTTTTTTTTTTCAATTTTTTTTATCTTTTCAGGTTGGGCTGGGTATTTTGGGCCATTTGGGGTAGTTTGGGGGATAATTAGGAAAAGGAAAAAAATTGACCCGAGGCCCGGACCGGACCCTGTGGCTACCCGGGCCGTTCCCGGGCCTCCTTAAAAAAACCCGAGGCCCGACCGAGCCTAGGCCCACCCTGGGCCCGACCTGGCCCGGGTCCATGACTACCTCCACATCCCGACTTTGGATAATTTTAGTTGCCTTTTATTTTTTTCTCATCTCATTAGTCATTACTCCCACAGTCCCACCTTCTTCTTCTCTATGCTTCTCGGTAGTGCAGGCCCAACCATTCCATGCCTCTGAAACAGTGAAACTCTATCACTCCGGACCTCCCTCCCAGTGGCGGACCCAGAAGTTTCCCGAAGCAGGGGCACTCCAACATAGATGAAAATGGGTCGGGTCGGGTCGGGCCGAATTAGGTGTATCATTAGTCTTTTTTGTTAAGTGCGTTCAAATTAATATTTTTAACTGGAAATAGATTATTCAATGCCGACGTCAAGCAGTGAACATATATGGATTATAAATCTAATTGTGAACTCAATAAGACAATTCTAAACAATAATATTTGTCTTTTGGAAAGAAATACATAATTTGACGGATAAGAAATGACTCATCTTTGTGCAGTTTATGATTTTACATTAGAATTTTCGCTACTTTTCATACTATAAAATGATCAAGATTTCATATTTGAACTAGGATCATGTTGTTGTTATACATTGTGCCACAAAATTTGTTGGTACTTGAATGAAATATATTACCATCGTGTTAAAAATGAAGTATAAGTCAAGTTTAGGATTTTATAATTTAATACAACTTTATTTATTAATATGATTATATATATATATCTACCTTTTACGAGTATCATATCATATATTATAGAAAAAAATTAAAGGGTTTGTCAGTTTGAAACTAATTTATCGCGAATTGATACATTCTTTCATGTATGGACTTTTATTCAAGATAAAAGTCTTCAATCTTTTAAGTTTATCCTGCATATTAGAACTTTTTTCATATCTTTGAACTTTAACTTTGGATCAACATTATTCACAACAAGTAAAAAATCATCAATGCCACTTTTCAAAGAAAGTGCAGTAAATATATAACAATATATCTAACTATAAGAATTTGCTCCATCACAACTTCAGAGTTGTTTATATTTCTTACTACAATTATTATATGTCTTTGACGAAGTCCTATATTTCTAATAGTTTTTTGAAATAATGACAATATGATTGAAATAAAGATAGTGGAGAGAAATATGATTTAGGTACTACCGTAACAATTTTAGTGACCATGATTCTGTTCATTAGTTATATTCCGGTAATATTTATGAAAAATACTTTTTTTTGCCCAGATAGCAGGGACACAATTTTTATCTTAAGTACTAATACTAAACTTCATGGTTGGAAGCCGGGGCACTTGCCCCCTAGTCCCCTCCCTAGGTCCTCCACTGTTCCCTCCTCCACCTCTCTGCCCAGTGTAGTTCTTTCTACAACTTCATTGTCTTGATTTAAAAGTTTTCCCTTTTCTAGGTGTCGGAAAGTTTGTATGACGGAAGAAAAATTATAGATTCCACGCCTCTGGTTTCTGATGCGACAGTGATGGAGAAATCTGAATGAAACCAAAGAACTTTTTATCTCCGAGAAGAAGGCGGTTGCCAAGTGGGCTTGTGAAGGAGAAATCCAACATGCAGTTCCCGAGGATCTATTGGCGTCCTTTGTTGCCGGCTTCCACAACAGGGGAAATGGAGTGTCGAGCATTGATGGTGGGGAGAGTAAAATTATTGATAATAAGAGAAATTAGAAAAAAAATATAGGGGAAATCAGAAAAAGTGCCAAACAAGTGTCTCATCGGTGCCACATAAGCATTTCAACGGGAAACTTGTCAAATAACGGCTAAATAGACAATTTGAGCGTTTTTATAAGTATATGAATTTGATTGACTCATTGACTTTTTGATAATAAAACTAGGACTTATTTGACAGTTTTCTCTTTCTAATTCAGCCACATGTTGTTCTTCATTATCATTATTATGTGCTATTTGGATGTGTTTCTTAAAACTGTTTATACTCCTTCAAGGGTGTTTGGATTATTCTGATAGAGTGTTCGGGTGAATGTGCAGAAGTACTTTTGGTTCTCCAATTTACTCCTAGAAGCAGTTTTTTTAGAATTTGGGGGAACCAGTTTCTGAAAACTGATTCTGTTTCTGTTTTAATTTAAAAAAAAAAGTAGATGCTGAATCAATTCCAAACACCCCCTATATGAACAACATCATCACCCTGCTTGCTCACGGTGTTGTGCCCCAAGATTCCACAATATTTTAGGACAATATTTGAATGTCCAAACCGAGTCCGTCAGATCTTTAACCTTTTTAAAATAAAATTTAAAAAAATCAGGATGAATGTTGGGAGTTGCCTTGTTCGGGTTGTTCCGATGAACCGGCGCCGCAGCCGCCACTCCCTTTCTCTTTCTTGGGAGTATCCCGCCTTCCTTCTCCTCTCTCACTGGGGCTTCTCCTCGATGGCGGCATTCTCCATCTCTTCGTCAATCTCAGGAATGGTTTCTTGATTTAGAAATCGTCCTTAGTGTTGAAGCAAGAGTTGTGTCATTTGTTCGGTCATGAGAAGCGGGAGCTAGAGAAACAAAGTGCTTGTGATTAATATTTCAATGGGAGAAGGCTCAAAAAGGACACTAAGGTTATTTATGAAGTTCGTATTAGACACTAACCTTTTAAGTAGACCAAATTAATACATAAACAACTTATTTGGATTATATTTGGCCACCCACTCACATTTCCGTTCAACTCAACGTTAATTGCCCAGGCCTCCACCTTCAATCTCCTCGTCGTCTTGGCAACGCCATCCCCAATTTCTTAGCCCCGCTTCTATATATCAGCCCCTGCCGTCAAGAAACCCCTCTCTTCTACTCATTTGACCTGTCTCCAATCCATCATTGTCGTCTGTCTTCTTCAGTTTGCATCTAAACTCTGCTCCGCAGAGCCCTCCAAGTGGTCTCAATCACCTTCTCCACCCATGTCTCCTAAAAATCTCTGCTTGCGGATCCCAATAGTGAAACTACATCGACATCTGATCTAGTAATTGGAAGAAGCTATGATTTACTATCGAAAATAATTATTAGGGTTCACTTCACTGAGGAATGTCCAATCTCTTTTTTTTTAGTTCTTATAGAAAAACCAATTTGTTATACTATTACGAAGTGTCATATAGAACCAGGTTTCATTTTCGTTCTTCTACTAAGCAAAATTCAGTCCAACAAATTGTTATTTCAAAACCACGATTGACATTTGTTTGAATTAATTAAAAAATCAGAAGGAATGGGACATCAGGGTCCTCGCATGTCGCTTTGCAAGTGGTGAGTATTACAAGTGGCCGGAGTCAAAATAAGATTTTGGGCTATATTTGGTGGAGGAGGTATATTTGCTGGGTTTGGGTTTTCAAAGGAGTGGGCGGCTATGGCGGTGAGAAGAAAGGGGTATAGCGACAGAGAAGAAACGGGAGCTGGTACTAACCTTATAATTGACGGAGGGAAGCCGTTAATCCAAGGTTGACGTTAGCGGTGTCCAAATGTGATGCAAAAACTTAAAGTTTGTGTTAATTTGGTCTACACAGAAGCTTAATGTCCAATATGAGTTTAGTAAATAACCTTGATGTCAATTTTGGCCCTTCTCCCTATTTCAATAACCCTACAACTACCCCAGGGGGAGTGTTTATAGAGGAAATGTGAGTTGGAGTCTCGGGTCTTGGACCTAAGAGGCCCAAAAGAATATAAGACCTTTAATGGGCTAATTACATGAATTCACGAAGCTAAGTAAATGAAATGCTGGTCGAGGAAAGACCTGGCCGAAGGAGGTGCTGGCTGAAGGACAACAAGAAGAGTGGAGACACTGAGCTTTACGATATGAGGAATCATTGAATCATAATAGTTTAAATTGATATATTTTAAGCTTTCAAAAGAAATTGATATATTTTATACGAAGTATTAACAATGTAAAGTAGTTTACTACCATCCCCCATGTAAAATATTTTACATGGGATGGTGTAAAATGTTTTAAAAAGTGTCTTATAGTTTACATCAAATAATTAAAACAAAAGGTATAACTATTTACTCTCCTCCACTTTACACATAAAGTGTTTAACTTTACATCTTACCAAACGAGCCCTTATTTAAAACAAATCAAAGAAGGCGCAAACCGGCCTGGGATAGGGACCCGTATACTTCCGCTCAGTTCTGGGCCAAAAAATGGCGGATCAGGACAGGTCGGCCCGGGACCAGAACCGAACCAGATCCATCCCTTTCCAAGCTCTCATTTTCATAACTACATCGATCCATAAAATATCTTGGCCCATTGAGTTCCATTTATTTCTTCTCCACTTTTTTGACGTTCAACTTTTCCTTCCGAATGATGTTTCGTCATCCTATTGCCCAAATAGCTCACTTTGAAGCATTTGCTTTCTTATGAAATTTGGAACACTAAATTAAGTGATCACCACATTTTTTGAATCGGTAATAGATAAGGCTTAAATGTCGTTGGTGATAATAGATAACAATTTTTATAAAATTGATCAAGTGATGTAGAGTACTTTCATAAATAAAAAACATGCCGAACTGACCCACTAAAATGCCAGAAAATCTGACCAATGACTGCAAAAGAAATACACAATAACTCATATCTTAATATAAAAACAACCTTATTGTTAAAGATTCCTTCCACTAGTCACTATGATAAACACAGTTGGGCAAATACATATATAGAAAGCCAAATTAATGTTTTTTACACTCGAGCTCCAAAGTCTGCTTATGTAATCACAAAAAAAGAGAGGGCATTGAGCAGAAAGGAGCCCATTATCCCAATAATCTGAAAAACCCAAGGCATTAAGCTTCAAGCCTCCAATAGAGGGGTGCATTAATCGGGCCAAACCGAAAAACCGGGCCGAAACGGAATCACCAGAACTAAACCAACCCAGATATAATCCGGTCCAATTTTCGGTTCCTATATTTCGGAAAACCAGTTTCCGATCCGAATTATAACTGGAAAATTCTGATTCTAACCGGATACAACTAGTTAATACGGTGTTTACATAAATAGCAGCATTGATCAGATGATACAACGTATGGCAGTTTTGATCAGATGTTTACATAAACTGGCATAGCACGTTCCAATATTCATCCAAAAGCTTCACATAAACTGGCATAGCACGTTCCAATATTCATCCAAAAGCTTCTTCTCTTGAGCAATCAGAGGCTCACAGCAGCATTGCCAGCATATGGCAGAGGCATAGCTAGGGATGGACTGGGCCGGGCCGAACCGGCCCGGAACCGGACCGGCCCGCTACTGTGCGGGCCCGAACCGGACCGGGCCCGGTTGGCCGGTTCCGGGCTTTTAGCCCGTTTTGGCGGGTCGGGCGGGCCGGTTCCGGGCCCTGTTTTTGTTGAACCGGCCCGGGCGGTTCGGGCCGGGCCCGGTTCATTTTTTTTTTTTTTTTTTGGTTTTTTCAATTTTTTTTCTTTTCCTAGGGTAGGGCTGGGTGTTTTAGGGAGGTTTGGGGCGTGGGGGTGAGGGGGGGGGGGGGGTAGGGAGATAACAAGAAAGTCAAAAAAAAAAAAAAAAAAAAAAAAACATTGAACCGGGCCCGGCCCGGCCCGGCCCGGTTAGGCCCGGACCCGGTATCAACCCGGGCCGGTTCCGGGCCCATGTAACCCGAAAAAAAGCCCGCCCGGGCCCGGCCCGGAACCGGAACCGGCCCGGCCCGGGTCCATCCCTAGGCATAGCCATCACCCGCACATGTCCAATTTTTCAGCAATTTCATTAGCTTTGAGCCTTAACTTCAAGGTCAATTTCATGTTTTTCAATTTATTTAAATGCATATATTTATGTATATAGTTAAATTAGCAACAGATAATTTAGACTTTAGAGATTTTCCAACATTAAGGAATTGGGATATGTTGTATGAGTGTGAGCGGTATGCCTGATTGTCCGTATTAACCATTAATGTATTGCCTTTTTGGTATGTGATTACAAAATTAAGTAATTAAGCTTTTAAAAGAAACTAGTATTCCACCCGTGCGTTGCATGGGATGTAAAATGAAGATATTATTAATGTTAACCTATAAACGTAATTAGATCGTAATATTTTTTCAAATATTAATAACAAATAAGTAAGAATTTTAATATTAATTAATAAATAAATAGTAACAAATACGGAGTACGTAGTATTAGAATTTCAATAAGTTTTTTTTTTTGTTTTTTAATCGGAATTAGAATTTAAATAAGCACTCAATTTACAAATTATTAAAATTGCAATTAATAACATTCCATACGTAAAAACCGAACGTCACAAAAACACCAACAATTTCCAACGGGTGTCATCACTTTTTCATATACATCAAGGGAAAATGTCTACCCTAGGTCACATACTTGCATCTCCAAACCAATCAATGTCTTGTTTAATAAAATAGAAAAGACATTTACAACATCTTGCAAAATGAAATATTGGTCACTACTTTCTTTTTAATACTCCGTTACAATGTTACATTGTGGATCCATCAACCGTCAAGAATTGAGAGTTCTAATATCAAAATTGGTGTAAATAGAAGGCATATTAAACTTGTAGAGGCGTCCTAAAGAACAAAAAATTCAAAATAACTATTTTTAATAGCTACTTATTCCTTATTTATCAAGTTTGGCCCTTGGGTTACTGTATTTAAGTTATTAAGAAATACACAAATAGAAATACCTCATTTCTTACTTGATCAATCAAAAGTAGTAGAAATAAATATAAATTTGCGAAGACATTTTGAAGAATAAATATCCCAATCACTCAAAAGGGATCAAATATCCCAATTCCCAAAAGAGCTATTCTTAAGAACAAATATTCCAAAAGTGTTATAAATAAAGGTAAACTTGCAGAATCATAATCACTCTCATCTTCTTCCTCAGCTTCCTCATCAAGAATAGCCTTAACTGGGCCACCTCTTGGGGAAGTTTCTAATTTACAAAACCACAAGGCTCTATCTTTAATAAAATTGTTCATGATGAAGGTATTGTGATAAAAGCTCTTGCTTGAACAATAGGCTCAGCAACTTCATCCAAAACCTGTTGAGGCATGATAAATATCAGTATAATAAGTTAATAATTTAAAACACTAATGCAAGTTTTAGAGTATCTGTTTGGTCCACAGCCCATGTATTTTGCTGGCTCCCCAGCATCGATTTTTTCTTCTCTATCTGGCTAATAAAATAATAACAGCATATTCTTTTAAATCTGCACAAAAATTAACAATAATAGTAAGCAATAGTAAAAAAGTAAATGAATAAGAAGTATGAACCAAACCTGTTTTCTCTCTCATTCTAAGTTGATTGAAATTGATAAATTGGATAAGAAACCTGTTTATTCTCTCATTGAAACAATAATAGCAGATTGTTTTAAATCTCCACAAGAATTTACAATAATATTAAGCAATAGTAAAAAAGTAAAGACCAAAGCTATTTTTTCTCTCCTTCTAACAGTTGATTAAAATTGATAAATTGAATAAGAAACCCGTTTATTCTCTCATTGAAATGACAATATGTCAATATTAGTAAGCCATAGTAAAAAAAGTAAAATGAATAAGTAAAGAATCTATAAACAGGGTAGCTCCATAACATTCTTTGATATACTATTTTTTATACTACGTAATATGTAATACATTCCTTAATCCTTTGGTAATCTGCGATGAAAGTATACAGAAAAGTAATAAGAGTGACTAAGATATTTCTATACCACTTACATACCTCTTATAAAGTAATAAGAGTGTACTGAGTTTTGATATCAACTTATTTTTATGTAAAGCTCAAAAATATAAAGCTGGCTATCATACTGATTAAGATAAAAGGATCATAGAAAACTTAGAAACTGTTAAACACCAGTGAGACATGGTCTAGGCTTCTCCAGGACTTGGACATTGCACCTTTTTTGCTATTTGTAACTACCTGTTGTACCTATTTATGAGCTTAAGAGCCCATATAAAGAAATGCATTAAAGGAGATGAGTTAAACAAATTAAATATTTAAATGCTTAGGTGATCATTCTTTTTTTAGATAGTATTAAAAAACATCTATGGTTACGGTGGAAACGCCTACAATCACATCTATGCTCTTTTTTTATACCTCTTTTAGAGATCAATTTATGAAAATCTTATGGAAAATTATGATGGAGACGCTGTTGGCACCCATATTTCGTCTTGCTTTCATCTTCGTATCTTTGTAATTGAAAATAAACTACATTTCTTTGTGACTGAAGAGTTACTCCATTTCGATGTGCAGTCCCATCTTTCATATTGCTGGAAGAGAACTACCTCTAGCTCCACACTGTGTTTGTGTAAATAGTCTATATAGTCTATATATTTACAAATTTTAAGTTGGGACTGCTAGATTATATAGTGGGGCAGGGCAGTTCATTAATTGCATTTCATTTTCTTGCTGTAAAAAAGGGATGCAAAAACTCAAGTTAATTATTAAAAGGACTTATTCCAAAAGCTAAAATATAACCTGAACATTTCGCTGTAACCCCTAAAACGGATTAACCAAATCTTTTTTCTTTATACTGACATATAACTTGAGCATATAACTGAAGTTTGAAAATGTTGTATGCCATTATGTTTATATTACTCATCTCACAATACAACTCTCTTATTTTGAATTCCAACTATAGTTATCAAACCATTCTTCCCAATATATAGAATCATGAATCAACCATGACTAAATTAGCCATGTGTGATCATTCATATTTGAACTTAGTGGCAATACCAGTATCAACATTAGGACTCACTTTCTTGAATCTTAAAAGACTTCTTATTTCTATCAAAAGAAAATGAGACTTCTTATACTTCAATGTAATATAATTACATTCTTTAAGGATATCTTTTCAAGTTTGCTGTGCATAAGAACATCAGTCACATCAGATCTCTATTCATAACAACCTGTAAGTTTTCATACATGATACTGATTTTGATTAAAATTTTCGAAATTAAAACTAATCCAAACCTCTCATGTATGTTAGTTTTATATGTAGAGAGTAAATGTAAAACCTAAAACCATAGGTAGATATGAAAGTTCATGGTTTAGAGAACATGCACCCACGACCCATCATGTAGTATGCATCCACTAATATAAACTTTCGGTTTGAATAATCATAGCAGATATATGCCTCTTCTACATAAACTGATTCTAAAACCCAATCCAAATAAATTGTATTTGCAGTTAAATAAAAATGAAAATCATTGAGTAATTTGGTTCGAGAGCATTGTTTTTTATTACAATGGGTGAATGCGGTAACTATTAGAAGTTGAAAGTCATAAATAGCTTGGTTCTGACTAAAACATTAAATTGGAAGAACAAAAGAAAAGTATAACCTGAAATGTGAAACGCGAAATAGCAATAACCTTAAACCTTGAATACATGTTTTTATGGTCAATTGGAGGCTATGTGAATTCTAAGTATTCTCAACACATCAGTCAAAAACAAAAAATGTATTCCTAGAAGGCTGCGAGTAAACTTACATCTCCCTCTAATGTCTTAGGTATTTAGGAGGATTTAATCACAGAGTATAATTACGAAGAATCAGATTGCTCCAACTGGTATTATACTATTATATGACTTCAAGCTTGCTATCAGTTTAATGTTAAAGTTCATTGGCAAAAAGCAGGATACAGGGAAGATTTTGTGGAGTTTTTAATAAGTTTGGGAGTCTTATTATACTATTACATTATTTTGGGAAGAGTTTAGTTGGAAAAATATTCAATAGTTTAGCAATTACCAATTAGTTATTGTATTAATGTTGGGATTGGGTTCCATTAGAACGCGGGATCCCATTCCCTTTAGTGTTTGGAATTCCATGTACTACCACCTTATATAAGGAGGGTCTTATTTAGAATAAATTAATAATACAGAACAAACTTTTAGAAAAGAGAATTTTATGAGTTTTGGGTCTCAACAAAACCCAACCCTAGGGAGTTTGGGATCTCTACTCTCCACAAAATCCTGCTTGTTTCTACACTTTGTTCAACCGTGAACTTGTTCATAAATAAGACACAACACATATGTGTGTAGTCATACACGGAATGAGTTGGAAGTCAGAATGATTGACAAAACAGAGTTACTTGGCGAATATTCGGATATTTTCATTATTGGGTGATTTACTTTACTGGGTGCAACTCAGTTAGGGCCAAATCTGAAAGATTTTAAATAAAAGAAATTGACGAATGCATAAGGTTAACGCTTTAACTACTTAAAGTATTTGAAATAAGCACATAAGATCAGAAACTCGTTTACACTTTAGAAACCCCACAATTAATGTTTCTCTCTGATTAACGGATTTTAAAAATCACAGGATGATGTAAATATGAAGAAAAAAATATCAGAAGCACTAAATCGCATGAATTAAGTGCAATCTACGCATCTAATTTCCATTTATAAAAAAAGCTACTTTATCCAATCTAATGGTAGCAAATTCATTATTAGATTAGAAAATAATCACCTGATTTGATGAAATTTAGTCTGTAGACGTGAGGAAGCATTTCTCAACTGAAACTTCTAATCTAAAAATTCAATCTCTTATTAGCATGACCGCAATAGATGAAGCATTTCAAATCAATTTGTGAAAAGTGAATAAACTGGTTAAAGATAATTTTGAAGATGAAGCATTTCAAATAAATTTGCCCCCAACAACTGAGTAGAGGGAACATATTAAATGAAGTTAAAGATTAGTAGAATAGTAAATGAGAAAAACCTGGAGATGATGATAATCCAGGATGAAGGTGAGGCCGGCGCCGCTGGTGGTGAAATCCATATATATTATCAATGGTCTCCATCGCTGAAAGGAGAAGATGGAGATCGCGAAATTGATATGAAGGTCGGATGGAGAAGAGATAAGATGGAAAGGGGATGCAGAGCTCTGTTAATGCCCAATTTTGACGGCAAGTAACGTCAAATTGAGAAAGAAATTAAGAAACGGAAGAATAAGGTGAGAAACGTCTAGGAGCAAAAACAGGAGATTTAATTACGGAGTATAATTACATGCTATATTAGTATTTAATTGGAGAGAGAAGCGGGAATATCCTTGGAGAGATGGATTCTCCCTTTAGGTATATAGGATTTCATTAAAGTGAAGGTGAGTGAGCTTACAAGTAATTTGAAGTAGTTGATTTATCAAACTTTGTCCTCTCTTTTATTAATGACATGCAGATTTTTTACACTTCTTTATTTTATAATATATGGATTGAATGTTATATTGATGAAAAATTTAGGTCCTTAAATTGAAGGCAACAACTGATATGTATGGTAGTAGTATGTAAGATTGTAAGTTGAATTACTTTTGGCAAATATCTTTTGGTATACTATTGTACATGTAATATATACCAATGGGAATTTTGGATAATATCTTTTGGTATACTATTGTACTACATGTAAAATATACCAATGGGATTCTCCAATGGAATTAAAGTTGCAACTAATATTTTTTATTGCTTTGGTTGTTAACATTGTTTCTTTTAGTTTGGAGTGATTATATTGACTTTCAATTAAAATTCATTTTTTTAACAGATGTCAAGTCATACTTATCGGGTGAAAAGAAGATGTATCATTTCTCAAGAAACCATAAATTAAATTCATCCCACTATGCTAGAAGAAGTTCTAGATGAAATGTCATCTCAAAGTATCAATTTAGATGTGCAGAAACGGCATAAAGTGGGTTGCGGATATGCCCAAAAAAATGGATAGGTACTTACCGGAAATATTCCTCGCAGCACTTAGATGACGAAGAAAAATTGAGAGCGAAGTGTAGCTATTGTGAATCCACCTTTGTTGGAGATCCGAATGTTAATGGATCACCAAAAATGAAGCATCACGTCAATAGACATAATGGAGGTATGCAAACCTATTTGTGAGACCTATTGATGGAGAGGGTGATTCTTTGAGATATAGAGTGTTCATTTAGAGGAAGTTTGGAAGACATTACACCATATAGTTATTATTGATGAGTTGGCATTTATGTTTGTGGATAACCGGGATTTAGACATTTTTAGAAAATTGATTGCCTCCTTTTTCATATCACGAATCACTATTGCACGTGATTGGTACAAGTTTTATCTTGAAGAAAAGGGGTGGTTGAAAGTTTTTTTATAAAAATCATGCCAAAGAGTTGATGTTGGACATCAATTTAACGAATAAATTTTAAATTGTATGTATCTCACTACTCATTTTATTGATGATCAGTGGAGATTGCAAAAATAAAAGAATCTTAAACTTTTGTCCAATTTCTAGTCCCAAAGGAGAAGCAATTGCTAGGGCTACGAAGGATTGTCTGAATGTTTGGGGGGGGTGGCTAAGAAATTGTTTAGTGTCACAGTTGATAATGCTAGCTCTAATAATGTCATTTGTCTATATTTGAAAAATATGTTTAAAAAGGTGGGGGCACAGTGAAGGTGACTAGTTACATATGAGGTGCATCGCATACAATTAATCTTATTGTGTGGGATGGGTTGAAGAAATATGCTAATTCCATTGATAAATTTAGTGATGTTGTAAGATACAATTTATTTTTGTGTCTTGATTGCCCTACTCGCTAGAATTTCACTTATGAAATGTTGGATACAATTTTGAAATACAAGGATGTTTTGTGAAGGTTGATCTTTCAAGGGAGTTAAAAAATATGAAAATTTTGGATCCGTTTAATGAAGATTATGATTAGGTGACACTTTCATGTCTTATTGGTTTCCTCAAAGAGTTTTATAACCTAACTAAAAAAGTATCCGGCTTTTTGAATGTCAAAGTAACACCCTTTTCATTCATATGTGTCATACATTTGTTGAAATGCCTTATTAATAGTAATGTTTGTTTACAAAATATAGCACCAAAAATGAAGTATGATAAATATTGGGGTGATATTGGAAAAAGATGAACACACTGATTTATATGGACTCTGTTCTTCATCCGAGTCTTAGGTTGATTGGCGTGAAGATTTGTCTAATTGTTTCGTATGGTGAAGAAAATAAAACATTTCTTTTTGAAAATATAAAAAAAATGTGTATGACTTATACGAAGAGTATAGGAAAGTGTATGTTGCTCCAGTTGTCATTGATGAAACTTGAGTAAGTGTGGTTCAAGCTTCACTTCTTCAACGTTGATTCAACTATATTGATGAATTGGTTAATGATCCAATTAAGCAATGGTTCATAACAAAATTGAAAAAGTAGTTTGATAGCTACATAGATGAAAAAAGGGAGATGAGGAGAAATATTTTTGACTTGGTGGAAGCTTAATGGTCTAAGATTTTAGGTGGTTGCACATATGACTCATGATATTAATTGTCCCAGTATCTACCGTAGCTTCGGAATCTGCATTTAGCACCAGAGGGCGTACTATATTGATCAAGAGTACGCTCTCTGATGCTAAATGCAGATTTTGATGCTACTGTATATACCGGGATAACTATAATAGCATGAGTTATATGTGCAACCACAAAAAATCTTGGACTATTAAGCTTTCACCAAGTCAAAACATCTTTTTCTTTCTTGTGTCCCCATTCGTCATCAATGTAGTGATCAAACTCATTTCTTGAATATTATTGTGACCCACTCATTTGTTTGATTCGATCTTTAACCCATATTCATTTATATAATCGAATCAACCATTGAATAAGTTAAGCTTGAATCACTAATTACTCCATCTCATCAATGAATCGATTAAACAAATATTCACTCCAATCAACTTAAAATACTGATGAAGAACAGAACTCGTGTAAATCAGTTTGTTCATCTTTTTTCAATATCAACTCAATATTTACCATACTTCAACTTCATTTTGAATATCATACTCCCTCTGTCCCTCAATACTTTGCCAAGTTTGACCGGCACGGGATTAATAAAGTAAAAACTGTGTGGTTGAGGTTTGTGCAGAGGAGAGAGAATTAACTGGAACTACAAATTCTTTACTCCAAAGGGAAAGTGGCAAAGTTAGTGGGACATTCAAAAAAAGGAAAGTTGGCAAAGTTACAAGTGACGGAGGGAGTATTTTGTAAACAAACATTACAATTAATAAGCTATTTCTTCGACAAATCAAATGTATGACAAATATGAATGAAAACGATGACACTTATGACATACAAAGAGCTAGATACGTTTTTAGTCAAGTCAGGTTAATAAATTCTTTGAGAAAACCAATAAGATATTCAAGTGTCACCCAATCATCTTCATTAAGCGAACACAATGTTTCCATATTTTCTAACTTCCTTGGAAGATCAACCCTAAAAAAACAGTCTTGTATTTCAAAAGTGTCTCCAACATTTCGTATGTGGAATTCTAGAGAATTTTTAATATATCTCGCAACAACGCTAAACTTAACAATGAAATTAACATATTCCTTCAAAGCATCCCACACGATAAGATTAATTATGTGTGCAATGCACCTCGCATGTAACTAGTCAACTCTATTGATGCCCCCACTTTTTTGAACACTTTAAATATAGACAAACAACATGATTAGAGCTAGCTTTATCAACAATGACAGTAAACAACTTTTTCCATATCCCCAAACATTTAGACAATCCTCCACAACCCTACCAATTGTCTTACCTTTGTGACTAGAAATTGAACAAAAAATTAATATTCTTTTTTTTTGCAATCTCCACTGATCATCAATAAAATGAGCGGTGATACACATATAATTTATATTTTGATTTTTTAAAGAATAAATCAAGTGTTGGCAGTAACACTAAATTTCTGGCATGATTTTTTTAAAAATCTTTCAACCTCCTATTTTTTAAGATAAAACTTGTAACAATCATGTGCAATAGTGGTTCGTGAGGCTATATGAAAAAGGGGGCAAGCGATTTGCAGAAAAATGTCTAAATCCGAGGTTTTTCACAATATAAAGGACAACACATCAATAATAACTATATGGTATAATGTCTCCCTCACTTCCTCTAAATTAACACCCTCTTTATTTCTAAAAGAATCACCCTCTCTATCAATAGGACTCACACAATTATCAATGAGATGGGCTTGCTTACCTCCTTAATGTCTATTGGCTGGATTGTTTTTGCAAAACTCAGCGTGATGCTTCACGTTTGTTAATCGATTAACATTCAGATCTGCAGTAAAGGTGGAGTCGCAATACATAAACTTGGCTCTCAATTTTTCTTCCTTGTCTAAATACTCCCAGAAATAAATCCAATAAACACCTCTCCGTTTTATTTAGACATATCTCCGAGCCACTTTAAACTGTTTTTGCACATCTAAATTGGCACTTCAGACATATCTGAGATGACATTTCATCTAGAACTTCCTCTGGCACAGTGGATGAATTTCTGTTATGGTTTATTTAGAAATGATACACCTTTATCACGACCAATATGACTTGACATCTTGACATCTGTTAAAAAATGAATTTAAATTGAAACTTAATATTAATAGCTCAAACTAAAAAAACAATGTTAACAACAAAAGCAATAAAAACAAAATATAAGCTACAACCTTAAATTCCAGAGGAGAATCACATTGGTAGATAGTATAGTAGTATACAACTAAGATATTTGCCAAAATTAACTCAACTTACAATCTTACACACTTCTGACATACATATCAGACTATCAGTTGCTGCCTTCAATTTAAGGACCTAAATCTCCGGGATTTGTTGCTCAGGTAAAATGTGGTAAAGTTTGTGAACTTCGTAAGTCTCTTTGTGGTCTAAAAGAGAGTCCTCGTGCATAATTTGGGAAATTCAGTCAATCAATCGAACAATTTAAAATGATAAAAAGCAAATCAGATCACTCAGTCTTTTACAAACAAACAAAAGCAGGTATCACTTTGCTTGTGGTGTATGTCGATGATATCGTGATTATAGGAAGTGATAATGAAGATATTTTGGCCCTCAAGAATTTTCTTCATAGCTAACTCCAATCAAAGGATCTAGGCTAATTGAAAATATTTCTTGGGTATTGAGGTAACAAGGAGTAAGAAAGGCATATTTTTATCTCAACGAAAATATGAACTTGATTTGTTAGGCGAAACAAAAAAAAGTGGGATCAAAGCCGAGCAACACTCCCATGGTTCCCAACGTGCAACTCACTCAAGAAGGCATGCCATTTTAAGACCCTGAAATATATAGAAGATTGATTGGAAAGCTTAATTATCTCACAGTCACTCCTCCAGATATTGCTTACTCTGTGAGTGTAGTGAGTCAATACATATCATCTTCGACCATTGATCATTGGGCTGCTGTAGAACACATATTTGTTACTTAAAGGAAGCACTTGGACGAGGTATTGTTTTTCAAAACCATGATCACATGAAAATAGAATGCTTTGCAGATGCTGACTGGGCCGGTTTTAAAGACGATCAAAGATCTACATCTGGCTATTGCGTCTTTGTTGGTGGTAATCTTGTATCCTAGAAGAGTAAGAAACAAAATGTGGTTTCTCGTTCAAGTGTTGAATCAGAATATCGAGTTATGGCGCAATCTGCATGTGAGATCATATGGATAAGCCATCTATCGAGTGAATTCCGATTAAAGACATCAATGTCTGCTAAATTGTGGTGTGATAACCAAGCTGTTATACACATAGCAAACAATCCCGTATTTCATGAAACAAAGCATATTGAAGTTGATTGTCACTTTATTCAAGAGAAGATACAAAAAGGATTGATCTCTACCAGATATGTGAAGATTGGAGAACAACTTGGAGATTTATTTAATAAAGCTCTAAATGGGATTCGCGTTAATTACTCATGTAACAAGTTGGGCATAATAAATATCTATGCTCCAACTTGAAGGGGAGTGTGAAAGAATTTATCTACGAGTATGCTTTAGGAATATATCTAAGAATATGATTAAGGAATATACTCTAGACATTATTATTGTATAGCATCTTATGCATAAATATCCCTTCTTTGTATAGGGCCTTAACCCTCCAATGAAATTAACAGAAAATCTTTATATAGGGCCTTAACCCTCCAATGAAATACACAGAAAATCTTTTCCTCTTTAATATATTTCTTAGTTTATATGCTTTATTTCAACACAGCAGTTCATATAACTTTATTTATAAATTAATATAGATTCAAGTTAGATTGTTCTTACTTTTAAATTGGCTTAAATTATTTAATGTAGAGTTCTAGTTTATCTGTAGACCACAACACTTACAACATATAAAGAAAACGGAAAAACAAAAGCAGCACAAGTTTATATATATATATATATATAATACAAGAAGCAACTCATCCACAGAAGTATGACATTAAAATCTTTTTGGAACAAAAGCATGAATTTAATAGTGAGAGAGAGAATTATACAGGAGATTCAGCTGCGACCGGGATCGACTAGATGGGACAATAGAAGGTTGGACGCAGCTTGGGGACTGATGATATCTGACGGGTAGAACCTCAATTTACTCAAGTCCATAGTATCATGTCCTGAAAAGCAGGGTTAGGAGATAAACTTTTTCAGAGAGGGAGGGCAAAGAAAATTGAAGAACTATGTGCAGTAAATCTCACTAAAGGGAAAAGAGAGCTTGCTAGTTTGAGTTTATATCAGGTATATTTCCTACCTTAAGCAAAACAATAGGATGACTGCAAAACACTGATCAAGACTTCTTGGATAAGGGTGACTGCAAGAACACTGAGCTAGACTTCTTGAAACAGGAAGGCTATGCGAAGAATGGAAGATGACAGCTAGCGCCTTCAGATAGATAATAATAAAGAAGTTCTGTTTAGAAAATGACATTTGTTGCACTTTGGCATACACACTTTGTAAACACCAAGTCAAGTTGGATCACAATCATTGTTTATGAATTTATGTCACAAACAAGTCATGTCTGAGTGAAGAAATCTATCTGAAAAAACTGTAAATTGTTGAAACAGAAGACTAACTTCGGTCACAAACATTGGTTTGAGCGGCCACAATCAGTTTGTGTACAATGCACAGATGTCTATGTTAGTGTGCATGAAAACAAATGTCTATACGTAGGAGTGCATTACCTCTTTACCTCTTTCATTATGATGACAAGTTGACAACCATATCATTAAGTCACCAGCATATTAAATACAGCTTCATTAACTATTAAAAATAGCCTTAAGAGTAACAAACATGGTTGAACTATGTGAATAACAGAAAAAAGAAGATATGTGCCTGGTTCTTAATGTATCTTGGGCTGAACTTGTTGAAATTGTGACTAAACTCACTGAGGGTATTGATATTGTGCCTGAGATAGCTTAATTGTGGCTGAAATGGGTAAACGTGTTGGACCAGTTTAGAAGATATTTTCTTAATAAATTAAAAAATAATAGCATGTAAAAAGAGTATAGGTGTCATTTGTATTCATTTCAGAAAATTTGGCAAAAAAATACATTTTTACACTAATTTTCATTATTGACCAGTCAGCACATTGACTGGTGCACATTGGAATCCCCGCAAGGTGAGGGTCCGGAGAAGGGTGTATAAGGAGCAAGTCTTCTCTTTCTATTTTTGACAAGAGTCCACACCCAAGACTTGAACCTGTGACCTCTCTCACCCACAGGAACAGTAACCTGTGCAGCAAGGCTCCCCTTCATTGAAGATTGGTTGAAAATTGAAATAGACCATAAAGGAAAGGTTAGAATACCTCTTCTTCAGTTGATGATCAATTGCACTAATATTCTTCATCCCATACATAACTTAGACATCTGAGTACCTGCAGAATCTCTGTGATTCTTGAATGGGAAAAATCACCTATTGTAAACTTTTCTACAGATCTCTCCACTTCAATCAAGCTGTGCCCTGCCTCTTTCTTTAACCCACTTCCCTTCAACATCTTTCTTGCACCGGCAACACAATCCCACATCCCATCTGACGCATATAGATTAGACAGCAAAACATATGGTGAAGTAGTAACAGGTTCAACCATCAGAAGCCTCTTAGCCACACGTTCCCCTACGACAACATCACCATGCAGCCGACATGCCGAAAGCAGGCAGCCTAGAACAACTGGATCCTTCCCAAAATGGTACTTCTGCATATATTCTTCAGCACTTTTTAGTCTCCCAGCTCGTCCCAGAAGATCAATTAAGCAAGAAAAGTGCTCAATATTAGGAGTGATCCCGTGAATGTATTGCATGGAGACGAAGAAGGATTGGCCCTCATCAACAAGCCCTGCATGGTTGCAAGCCATTAAAAGTCCTAGGAATGTAACAGAATCTGGTTTGAACCCAAGTTTCTCCATTTCCTTGTACAGTTGTATTACTATTCCTCCACGACCGTGGTTTGCAAATCCAGCTATGATGGTATTCCAAGATACCAAATTATGGCAATGCATTAGCCTAAAAACAGAATAAGCATGTTGCATACATCCACATTTAGCATACATGTTAACAAGGGCATTGCTAACAGTTACATCTACGCTCTGCCTAGTTCTAACTAAGTGAGCATGTATCTCACCACCTAGACGTATAGAAGCCATGCCAGCTGATGCAGAGAGAACACTCGCATATGAAAAGTCATCAACATATCCCTGTGCCATATATCTAAAGACGTTCAAGGCTTTGTTGTGATCATCACAATTAGAATAAGCAGCAATTAATGTGTTCCATGATATGATATCTGTCTCACTTATCATTGTAAAAACCTTCTCTGCTTCATCGATCAAATTCAACTTTGAGTACATTGTCATTAATATGTTTCCAATGAAAACACTCGAGTCAAGTTTCAACTTGATGGTTTGACCATGCAAACTCATTCCTATACCCAAATCCTCAGGTGTACAACAAGTTCCTAACAATCCAACATAAGTGAACCGGTCTGGAATCAATCTCCGTTGACACATAAGTTTGAACATCTCAAAGGCTCTCTGTTTATGATTATTTTCTATCATACCAGTAATTATTGCATTAAAAGAAACAACACTGGATGCTGGAGTACTAGCAAAAACTGACAAGCCGTCATCACACTTGTTACATTTCATATACATCGACATTAGTGAGTTGGAGACAAAAGAGATAGAGGAGTAACCTAATTTGATAGACTTGCAGTGGATCTGTTGCCCATCTTTCAGTGCCAAAAGATTGGCACAAGAGCTCAGGCTGCTAGAAAGTATATATTCATTTGGCTCTAGATTCATTTGACCAAAGAGCTTGACAGCCATCACATGCTTCCCAGATTGATCATAACCAGATATCATGGCTGACCAAGTCACCAAGTTTTTGTCAGGCATCTCATCAAACACTTGGCTGGCAAATTTGAGGTTACCACACTTAGCGTACATGTTGAGAACATGATTGGAGATTATAACATCACACATCATGCCAGTCCTAATAGCAACTGAATGAAGGGAAAGTCCACATTTGAGTGACTTAGTCTTAGAACAGTGATGCAAAAGTGAAGAAAGAGTTTCCACAGCCATCTTACACATCTCAGGAAAATTCAAAGTAAATGAGTGTCCCGTCTAGTACTTCTGTCACATACCAAACATGGTAGTTAGAACATTTGTGCCAGTATACACCGCCTTCTGTCGCCGGAGATTGGATAACCGACTAGCAGAGTTGCCGAGTTGAGACTTGAGAGTAGCGAATAGCCTCGAAGCCAAACTGCGGTCGACGGTCGTTGCTTACAGCGCACTTGCTTAGGACAGTGCTCTTGTATATAGAAGCTTGCTAGGCCCAGCTCCGCCCCTGATTGGGAGGAATCCGCTGACTGCTAGGTTTGTTCGCCTATGGTGATTGTCTATATTTCTGGAACGAGGGACCGTGCCGTTCATTCGGAGGAGAAAACGTACCATCGCGTTTGAGCCAGGCGCCTTCAAATGCTGAAGATGGCAGCTCAGCTCGGGTTGTTGCGGTCTGTGTCTTCTCCGTGAAGAAGAGGAACAGTAGTACGGGCGGAGGTTCGCTGCGGCTTGAGGTTTGGTTTCGGCTGAAATAGTACGGGGTTGGGTTTCAGCTGAATTATTACGGAGTACTTGTTGTTTGATTTAGGGCCGAAGGAATTAAGTATGCATTTAGGCCAAGGTTCTCTTTTGGGCTGATCTGGAGTATCATTATTATCTGGGCTGAGTTATTGTTTGGCTTTAGGCTTGCATGTTTCTGCTGTAGTTGACCAAATCTTGACCAACCGAGAAATTTTGCTAGGGCATTGTTCGATGTTGGACCGAAGTTGTAGGACTGATCGAGGACAAGAGAGGATTTAGAAGCTTATGATTTGAAGGCCTTAAATCATATTTTGATTTTTTTTTGAATATAAAGGATCAACTTTTTTTTATTAAAATCGAGAAAAGATAAAGTGCTCGTTTGGTAGTTCACACATTAAAACTTTACATGCAAAATGATTGCATGTAAACTTTACATGCAAAATTAAAATACATCGTTTGGTTGTCTATATAGCCTATTTTTAAATTACATGCAAACTCTTAATAATGTTTAGTTGGAAAATAATTTTAAATGTAAAATATTTACAAAAGGACTATTGTAATCAGCAAACCCGTGGGTGATGCGAAATTAGATTGGAAGGCGTAATTTCTAAGCCAAACTTCAATGGGAAAATCTGAAACAAAGAATCGAGCAACACTTCAATATGTGGAACTTGACTAGAAAAGCCAAGTTCAATTTCTCAGCCAATTATATTACGATTGCCAAGTCCTCAACTAAGGAAGATGATATAGCAATTCAATCAATATGTCGAACCTTTTCCAGTAGCATCTTGTTGATGATATAGCAAACCAATCGGTTGCAAAAGATAAGTTTAATAAACCAGATTAGTATTTGACCTTGTTTTTTTTCTGAACTTAGAATCGTGTGCGGCTATTGCAAGTTGCATCTATTGCTGCTACAATACCGAATAGAGTAGGGGTGGGCAATTCGGTTTACGGTTCGGTTTTCTTCGGTTTCGGCTCGGTTTCGGTTTATTCGGGTTGGGAGAATTTGTACCAAACTAAAACCATTTGTGTTTCGGTTTGGTTTCAGTTCGGTTTCGGTTCGGTTCGGTTTGAAGTTCGGTTTACCAAAGTAAAAAATATTATGTTTAATTTAGTTTGGTTTGATTCGTTTGCTTATGTTTATTATTTTATTTGATCAAGTTCTATATATATTTTAGAATTAGAAAATGAAAGTAGTAGTCCATCTCATCTTTTATTAATTTATTGATTATTTAAATAAAATGTAAAAGGAAATACAAGATAGAAAAATAAATAATAAAATATTATAAATTAAAACTTCTAACATCTTTTTTATCACTACAAAAAATATCACTTCTTACAAAAAATAAGATAGTTGATTAGCATTTATAATATCACATAAAATATTCAAAAAATCTAAAAGAGTCGGTGGTACAAATGTTGTAATATTCACAATTTTACTCAAATGAATCATGTATTAATATAAATGCAATTTGCTATTGTTACCGCCAAACATAATAAATACTCCGTACAAATATGTCGTATTAGCTAACTTTGTCATAATGAATGTATGAAATGTGTAAAAATTAAAATGATACGAGTATATGCTTAAATATATATTTTCATGTCTAAATGATTTATTTATATCTTAAAAATGAAGAGTGAAGATAAATACAAAGTGTATATATATGTGTGTGTGTGTTGTTTGGTGTTCGGTTCAGTTTACGATTTTTCCGTTTTAAACCAAAGTACCAAACCATTCGGTTTGAGCAAATGTTTACCAAACGGTTTACTTAAGTAAACCCAAACCAAAACAAATCAAACCACCAATTTTAATAATATATGAAAGTTTTTTTGAGTTTCTTAGTTCGGTTCGGTTTTGTTCGGTTTTTATCGGTTTCGGTTCGGTTCGGTTCGGTTTAATTCGGTTTGAAAGAAATAGTACCAAACTCAAACCAAATTGCATACGGTTCGGTTTCGGTTTGGTTTAATTCGGTTTGGTACGGTTCGGTTCGGTTAAACCAAACCATTATGCCCACCCCTAGAATAAAGTATGGCAACACAAATAGCTAGGCCGAAATTGTATTACGATTTTGATATATTGTTGTTGGGTTAAGGGCCCAAGCCGAGGTCCGGCCCACTAACCCCTTCTTTACCAGACGTACGTCCAGTCAGACCACAAGGCCAGCCCGCAGGCCCATGTTCCTTGAGGAGGGACGAACGTCTGGGGTTGGGAGTTCAGGCCCAACGGTTCATCCCGACGAACGTCTATGCAGGGACAAGGAGCAGGACCACGGGCCACCAGGGATGACGACGAACGTCCCCATGGCAAGCCTATAGTCATCCGGGGAAACCCAGTGCACAAGGCCAGGAGACGAACAGCCGGTATCTCTTGAGGGTCACTTGGAGCGATCCAACTCACTTCCCGGGCGGACGAACGTCCCCACTGATTAGGCGGGAAGCCTAGATTCTGGCGGGAAGTGCATTTAATGCTGAAGATTTGGTAGTTGGGGCACCAGCGGTCCGCAGGCTGCCACGTCAGTATAGCCACCTGCCCATTGGTGGGCATAAATAGAAGCATTTATTTCATTGTAAAGGGTTGACAACTTTCTATTCTTAGCATTCTAGCTTATTTCTCTTGCTCGCAGCTGAAATTACTGCCTAGCGAGACGAACGGCCGACGTGCCTTTTTTAGTAAGTAGATTGTACTTAGGGGAGTTATTACGGAGTTAATAATACCTATTTACATTGCTTACTATATCCTCTGCTTCCTGATCCATCTGATAGTTGTTGGGCTAGATATTCACATACTCATACACTCACTCCACTCGAAATCTTCGGGCTTACGTGTTGGGCCTGAGGGTTGAAGGAATAAACCTCAACACTGGCGCCGTCTGTGGGAACCTGAACTAAAAGTTTCAAAACCCTCCCTGCTAGAACAGCAACAACCTGCCTCTCAACAAAACACGATGTCAGGAAGCAACAACCAGCGTGACCTCTCCGAGCGTCTGGAGTCAAGCCACCGGAATCGCGGCCAGAACTCGGAACTATCTGCGACGATATGGACCTCCGAGGGAAACGGGGGTATCACTGACCTCATTCCCCTTGAGGCCAGGCAGGATCCCCGCCTCATGCGGGAACTTGCTGACACCATGCGCCGTTTGGCAGACGAACGGGAGGCTCAGGAGCAGGTGTACTCTGCAAGCACCCAGCGAACACCACTCTCTCCCATCCGCCGTATGCAGTCGTACGATGATACGACAGGATCCAGCGACCACCGGCCCTCGGTCCATGAGCGGCTAGGTGGAGGTTCAGGCTCCCGTGGAACGGGAGGGCGAACTAGGGTCAGCACCGCTGCTTTCAGGGCGCGCACGCCATCAGTTCCCCGCCAAGTCTCGCGGGGAGACGAAACCCCAAGGATCAACACCGTTGGACGACGCTTCCAGCGGCGTGGGGCACAGATCCTCAGGCGGCCGCACGGTGCTGTGGCTGCCCAGCAAAACGCTGTCCTCGAAGCCATGCCCCCTGTGTCCCCCGGGAGGGCCGCACAGGATGCAAGGCTGGAAGCAATGGAGCGGCAGATAGCCGAGATGAACAGGCGGACGGACGTCGGCTCGGCCACACCCTCTTTCTCACTCACGTCACCCTTCACCCCCCGGGTGATGAGCGTCGAAATTCCCCGGGACTGCCGACCCCCGGGCAACTTGGTGTACAATGGGGCCGGTGATCCCAAGGCCCATCTGATTAGCTACCAAGGGAATCTGTCCATGCTGGGAGCATCGGACAAGGCCATCTGCAGATTGTTCTTCAGTACCCTCAGGGGGCCGGCGCAGGAATGGTTCGGCCAGCTGAGGCCGGGCACCATCGACTCATATGAGCAGCTTTCCCGACAGTTCATGGCCCAATTCGCTGCCAGCACCACCCCCAGGAAGGACGTCACGGCTCTCGCCCACATCAAACAGGGGCGGGACGAACCGCTGGCCAGGTTCCTGGTAAGGTGGAGGGACGAAGTCCTGCAGGTCGATGATCTGGACGAACGTCTGGCCACGAACATGTTCACCAGTGCCCTGGCCACATGAGATTTATACCGGGACCTCAGGAGGAATCCCGGCACCAGCTACACCGAGGTTCTGGCTCGGGCCCAGAAGTATGCCTCCATCGAGGAGGAGATCAGGCAGCGGGACGGAGTTCCCGCGGCCCAGCCACGGAAGATGGCGGACAGGCTCGGACCCAGACCGGGGCCCGGGCCCTCCCCCCCGAACAAAAAGAAGAAGGCGGACGGGGCGATGGTCCCTTGGAAGGCTCCGTCCGGAGATATTCAGACGCGGCCGGACGACCGCTACGTCCCCTTGGCCTATCCAGTGAGCCAGATTTTTTAGGCCATCAAGGACAAGGGCCTCCTGATGGAACCCCAAGATATGAAGAAGCATATGGGGCTTGACCAATCGGCCTACTGTGAATACCATCAGAGGGCCGGCCACCTGACGGACAATTGCAGCCAACTAAAGAGAGCAATCGACGAGCTGATCCGTCAGGGGTACTTGAGCGAGTTCACCCAGCTGTTGAACAAAAACAGCCAGCAGAAGCCGAACCCAAGGCCCCGGACATGGCGCCGCGACGACCGGCGCGAGGCAGAGCCCCAGGATGTGGATTATCGGAGCGCAGATAAGCGTCCGGAGGGATCCCTTGGCCCGAAGGGCAAGAAGAAGAAGTTGGAGATCAAGGTGATCTTCGGGGGCGCTGAGACAGGGGATACACCCGCCGAGCGGAAAAAATTTGAGAGGTCACTCTACGTGGGTTCCGTATCAGCACCCCCCACCAAGCGCAACAAGATTGAGGCAATCACTTTTGGGCCCGCCGATCTGCCGATGTCACCAGCGCCGCACAGAGACGAGCTGGTGATCAGCATGGACGTGAACGATGCCATCGTCCGCCGCGTCCTTGTTGATATCGGGAGCAGTGTGAACGTCCTCTACTGGGAGGCTTTCGAGGGAATGAAGCTCAAGAAGGACATGCTGCACCCTCTGCGTACCCCGCTGTCCGGCTTCACCGGGGATTGC